TTTTGCATTAAAAAAAAAAAAAAAAAAAAAAAAAAAAAAAAAAAACCAGGAAACTTTCCAAAATATATTATTCTACGGCAAGAGAGAGAGAAAGTAAAGCTGCACAGAAGGGAGAACAACTTGAAGTAATAGTACGCAGTTTTATTTCCCTTTTTGGAAATTGCTTTTTATGATTCCCTACTCACGCCAGCAATTTCAAAAAGACAAATGACACCAAATCACTTAGTCACAAAAGAATTTCTACTTCTTGTATGTTCTTTAGGTAATTCTAGCAGAGCTTGACTTTCAATTAGTCATGCAAGTAAATCTTGACGTGTTGGCCTTTTGGAAAGGCCAAAAGAAATTTAGAATATTCCAGGAAAAAAAAAATATTAGTCTGTGTTTAAGTAAGAACCTTAACATCTGCCAAAAGTCCAAGTCACTACCCTAATAACAGCATTGGGTAAATCTGATATGCTATTAGTAATAGTTTGAGAATTCCAAATTCCTTATGTTAGTGGTCTCCATTTTTTCCCCATTTTACCATATATTTACTGATTGCCCACTGCAGTTTGGCGCTGGCTTCAATGCTAGGGAAGTCCACGCAATGAAGACCAATGAACTCTCTGGAGCATGTATTTTCCTGGAGGGAGACGTAGAAGTGACAAGCAGACAAGTACAAGAGAAAGTATATTAGATAGCGTATCAAGGGCTACAAACAAAATAAACAGGGTGATACGACCAAGGAGATCTGATGGTTGGGGCAGTCCCTTTTTTTTTTTTTTTTTTTTTTTAAACCACTCAGCCTGTGTCCTCTCCCTCTTACTCCCCCAAAGGAGGAGAAGAACAATCACCAGTGGCAATAAGCAGTTGCCGAAGCAACACCTAGAGCCACCTTCGCGAAGCTCAGGAGAGAACACTGCGATGGAGAGGTGCTAATTTTCACGGGGTTCGGGGAAGGCTTCTGTTATTAGCTGAACTCTGATCTGAAACCTGGACATGCAGAGAACACTGGAAAATTCCAGGCAAAGGGCAGATCTGAAGATCCTGTAGTTGCAATGCTGTGGTTGGCTTGATGGAGGGGAGCAGAGGCTAGCCGGGAGGCAGGGCAGTGCGCTCCGAGGAGAATGGTATAGGCAGGGAGGTGACCCGTACAGGAGCCCCACCACTGCCCACAGGCATAGCAAGGAGTCCTGCTTTCATTTTAAGAGCGACGGGAAGCCGTTGAAGCTGTTCGATTTTATATTTAATAATTATGATCTGGGCTCCTGTTTGGTGAATGGAGAGAGAGAGAGAGAGAGAGAGAGAGAGAGAGAGATGAGGGTGGGAAGAGAGGAGTCTAGGTCTTGGAGGGGGAGAGGGGTCAGTTCTCTTTTGAATGTTAGACTACAGGTGGCCGATGGGACATCTCCTTGAGGAGGTCAAGCAGACAGATGGAACAAGGTGTTTGGGGCCCAGGGAGAAGTCTTAGTTAGAGGTACACGTTTGGGAGTCAACATTCACAGTTCCTTCCTGACCACCCAGGCACCTATTTGGTAATCAATGAACTGCTTTCAAAATGACTGATAGATAATGGTGGGAAAGGGCGAGAGAATTTTGCATACAAGAAGATGTTTTGAATCTCCTGGCAAGGAGCACTCAGGAAATGTTAGTAGAGGGCCAAGTGCGGTGGCTACTCGATAAATACGTATTCACAGCGATGAATCTCGAGAAAGCAGGGAACCGTCATTTCCCTTGCTGCTTACACCCTCTGTTCCTCATCCTCGGTATCTTTTCTCCTGGTGGTTTTGAATTCCTGATCCAGGCATCTTGCTTTGTTCTTGATCCCTGTCTTTTGGACTCTCCCATGCAGAGAACACGGTCATCGCTCCGACTCCGTCCCTAATGACCGCGTCCGAACCTCTTCTTCACAGGTTTCTGAATCTGCCTTGAATCAGGAACACTGAGTACTTATTATGTGCCAAGCCCTATTCTAGACACTTACCACATATATCCCGTTTATAGCACCCTGCCAAGTAGATATTGGCCCTTGGAGTAGAGTAGACCTTCATCTCCCTGAGGAAGTAAGTGCGTGACTCTAGTTAGTCAGAAAGTGGCACAGCACGAATCCAAAGCAAGGCCAGCTGACTCTGTAGCTGGGGTCCTCTGCCTGCATTCCCAAAGCTCCCTGGATTTTGCCTGCTGAATCCGGTGGTCCCCTCGACTCATCTAGGTCCCCAGCAAAGTCTGTTAGGGGGCTGGTATCTGTTGACGGCCAGCAAGCGTTCAAGTCACGCTGGCCTGTGTCTTTACCCTTGAGCAACAGTGTTCCGTATCTGCGTGACTACAGACCCCGCCGGTGCTCTCACGCGAGTCCTCATCGTATTCAGCGGGACGAGCCTAACCTGAGAGGAGCCCCTGGCCCGGGAGGATACGAGCCATCAGAGAGACAAAAGAAACGGGGTACGCTGGAGTAACACAGCAGGGCAGGCTTGCCGGGGACATGGTGGCTGGGAGCAGACAGGCTGAAGACTAAGAAGGAGGGCGGCTGGACTGTATATAGAAGGAAAACGTGGCCTCTTCATAGCTGGCTAAGGGGTGAGGTGGCAAAGACAAAAAAATCGTAACTCACGGTTCAAAAGAAATAGCCCTTACGGCGTTAGGTAAATGTGCTAATAAAGCGTCAGTCTCTCTGGCCGCATACTCTAACTGAAGGCTTTCTGACTTCATTAGGCATGTCCCCTGAGCATGCAGGTGCAGCACAGGCCAAAGAGACATTTGCTCACACGCTGCCTGTAGCAGAGGCAGTGGTTTCACAGCATCCAAGAGGAGGCCGTGCCTTCACTTGAAGGAGGCCACGTCCCAGGACGCCAAGCAACGTGGGCAGGAACGATCTGCAGCTCCTGTCGCACCGGAGGACCAAGGGAGCTGAAGCCGCTCCAGTTGGCACTGTCCCTCCAAGCAGCACCTGCTCTGCCAGCAACACGCGACCCTTTACTGCCCGACACCTGGCTGGCTGCACGGGCCCCATGCTGCCTGCCGAGGAAATGGAGCTGATGAATATCCATTTCAGGCGAGGTTTCATGGTAGAAATGGGATGTGGAATTTCTAGAGGCAAGCAAGCTATGAGTCCAGCATCAACCAGGTAAGTTATTAATGAATTAAACTGACAAAGGTCGGGGGGTGAAAAGTTGGTTCAAAAGACAGACAAGAGGACAAAAAAAAAAAAAAGCCACGCATGCGCTATGTTCTTGAGTGACAGCAGACGGTGATGGCTTGTGGCACACAGCTCTGCTTTGCCAAGAGGTCTGTGGCATTGCCTCCCGACGCAAGTGCAACATTAAAGAGATTTGTGGATCTTTCAGACCCCACTGGACGTCTGAAGAGTTTCAGCTGAATCCTAGGAAGAGCTGTGAAGCTAATCTGAATCTACCCATCTCCACTGCTAACGTTCCACCTGGCTTAGAGGACAAATGACACGGCTCCAAAGATTTTGAGAAGCAAAGTGCGCTCCCTCTCACACGTGCACACACACATGCACCCACACACATGCGTACATATGCAGAGGCAAAATAGTAGATCTTTAATTACACACATCATGATTTTGTTCTCTTCTGATATGACATGCCAAGTATCAATAGCCAAGTTCTTTGCTGTCCCAACACCTAGATCAAAGTCAGAACACAGTGGGCTTTCCATATATATTTGTTGAATAAATGAACAAATGAGCATTTACACTCTCTTTAGATTTTAAGTTCTGGTACGCAACTTTGCCTAGAGACTTCTTCTCAATACCCCTAGGAAAAGTCCTTAGTTGTGTTCTAATTTTACAAAGCATTCTTTTCATGGAGACGTCTGAATCCCTCTAGCTCCCTGCACGGGCTATGATTTTTCTGCTGGAGAAATACTAAATGCAAAGTAGGATCGGAGGAATTTTTAATAGTTTGTGTCTTACTTGTCTCCCCACTCTATTCCAAGCATCTCATTAAATATTTTGTACTTACCCTATTCCTTTCTTATTCCTTATCTTATTCTCCTTTATCGTTGAACAACAAAAGGACAAAAGTCATCAGGGTTTATGACAGGACACAATCAGTTGATGAATTTCAGTATCCCACAGAAGTAAAATTTTATGTAGAAACATTCATTAACTAGTGATAAGTCAGCTCTGGGTGTGGATATCTACGGACCGAAGTCTTTGAGACAGGTTCAAAACCAGATCCCGTCAGTCTTGTAGCCAGAAAGCACTGATGTTCAAGGATGAATCTCAAGGGTGTTGGAACGGGAGCCTTTTCCTCCCAATAAGGCAGATGGGACACTTTAAGTGGCATCTGCTACTGTATATTTAATCTAAGTCGTAATATCAAAAATAAGCAAAGACCCATGGACCTTTGGGTGAAGGATATTAGTTTGACTATTACAGAAACTGGTGCCAGTATAAAACTAGGAAATAGAACCTTCGCCCTGCCTTTCAATCTTGCTGGCATCCCAGACAATAAGAGAAGTGAAGGAGGCCTGGGGATAGTTCTCTGGGCGGTGAGCATTTTTATGAGTTGATACATTTTTAAGCTTATCTCCAAGAATAAAAACAGTCACTTTTCTTGTAGGGACTTTTTTTTAACGTCAAGTAAATGTGACAGAGCATAAAGGTTTGTTAAATATGAATGCTGAGGGGACCTAGATATTTATTATTCTCTGTGTTTTCTCTGTTGGAAGCATTCCATAATAAAAAAAATGATAAAAGAATCAAAACAGCAAGGAAAACACCAAAACACACGTCTTGGGGGTTTTAAAAATGGAGGCTTAATTTGCCTCTGCAATGGTTAAAAACACAAGACCTCTGATTTCAAATTAGTTTGTGAATATTTTTCAAATAACACCCGATTTCAAAATATAGATTACTTAGGTGTTAAATTTGGTGACGCTTTAACAAATAGTAATGTAAATCAACTCCCAGGAAACCGGAAAGCCCTCCTATGTCAACATAGTGCTGACAATTCATCATATTTAACAAGGTGTGTTGGAAATAGCTGAGTACTGACCTCCCCAGGACAAATGATCCTCTTGGGACGAGGGGCCTCTTGCTGTAACTGATATACTGCCAAAAAAAAAAAAAAAAAAAAAGATAATTATAATTAGAAAACTACAACACATACCAAAATGTCTTCAAATAGTTCCACCTAAGTATATCTCAAGAACTGCAAATATTTCAAACAAAAAATAAAACAAAAAGGATACAGGCACATTTTTAGACTGAATAAAGTAAGATCATTTATATGGAAATGAGTTACCATGGATGTAAACTGGCAAAATTGATTTTTTTATTCTTTTACAAGGCCAATTTAGTTTCATAATTGTTACTGGCATTGTTCATTTTATGGCTTTCTTGGAAGGTAGGAGTAAAATTCTTCTGACTATTTTAAGAATGGAATTCTACTTTTGAGTATCTAAGCAGTAAGATCACATAATAGGATTCCTGAATTTCCATGATGTCTCCTCACACATCGGGGAAGGACTGGCATTAGCAGAGGAGTGTTATTCTCTGAAATGTCACAGATATGTACAAAGACACCACTGATTCTGTGAGTGGGTAAAACCCCAAGTCCTTTCTCTTTTCATGAGTGCCATTCTTGGCCCACCCATCACCAGGGCTTCTCATCTACATGACTAATTCCCACCCATTGTCATTTCTCTTTCTTGGGTCCCTCAATATCTTAAGAAATAGTAACCCTCTTATATCTTGCTTCAAAGACAGCCTTTCAGGCTTGGGTGTGGAAGAAAGCAGGTTTGTATATAAAAATAAAATTTCAGCCTATTATCCATGATTTTTCTGATTACAATGAGTGATTTTCTGCTGTTCAGCTAGTCTGGTTATTTTTCTTGGAAGGAAACTACCCCAGGTGCCTGGGCGGCTCAGTTAGTTAAGTATTAGACCCTTGATTTTGGCTCGGGTCATGATGTTGTGGCTCATTAGATCAAGTCCTGCATCGTCCTCTGCACCGACAGCTCAGAGATTGTTTGGGATTCTCTCTCTCTCTC